AGAGTCTTGATTTTTTTTGTTTTTTTAAACAAACAAACCAACCCGCTCCCCCCCCACCCCCCCCGCACACAAGCCTGCCTCTGAGAGGGAAATAGCCAGGTGGAATCTCACTCTGTTTCCATGGACAACCCGTCCATTATCACCCAGGTGACTAACCCCAAAGAGGAGGAGATCCTGTCCTGCACTCAGGATAAAGGTGAGTTGCTTTCTGGTTTTCGCCATGATTTTTTATTTATTTTTTTTCCCCCCCTCTCTGTTTAAATTTGCACGTAGTAACAACTCGCATTCTTTAGTGACCGTATAATCCTCTCCAGGCTGCTGGGAATAGAGGAGGGCTTGTTGGGTTTGGGCTGGTTTTTGTTGGTTTTTGCTGTGGGATGAAGGTATTTGTGTGAAGAGTCTCTGAAACTGCTTGCTGGATACAGCTGAGAACTTGTTAAAAGTGTTTAAATACCGAATTTCGTCAGTCATTTAAAAAAACACTCTTATTCTCTGAGGTTTGGGGAGGTAACTTTATAAGGTGGTCACTGTAGTTAGTGCCCTGCTCCAGGGAAGGGATACCTGTGCTGGGTGTGTTGGAAGGTTTTGAAATACAGTCTGTAAAGATTTTAAATTCTTTTCCCCTCTCCTTTTTTTTTTTTTTTTTTTTTTTTTAAATCGGATTTCTTTCCTATATTCCTCCCTGCCTCCCATTTCAGAATCTGTGCAGCTTTCAGGTTTGTTGGAGGTTACTTGTGCTTCTCAGAACGAGACACAGGCTGCTTGTAAAAACAGGCTCTATTTACTCCTTAAATAAATAGTTGTTGCTTGCGTAAGGCATCACACTTGGACTGGGTTTTACTCCCAGATGAGATGAATCCAGCCAAAGGAGCTGCTTCCCTCAAAAGTCTGGATGTTGACGAGCGCCCTTAACCTTGTTTGCTTTCGGAAGCTTGGAGCAGCTTGGGGCTGTAAGTGGTTGTGTCCTTGTGTCTGGTGGGTGAGCAGGAGGGTTCGAGCTCTGGGGGCTTGTTCAGGGCTTTGGGAAGTTATTTGGGTGTCACTTTTATGTTTTGTTACAGGCAAAGCTGGTAAATAGAGGAGAAAGGGCAGAAATTGGAAATAAAAAGTTATGTCCGTGTTCCTTGGTAGGTACAGTCAGATCTCTAAGTGGTCGTCTAAAATGGTAGATTGATAGATTTCCTCCCGAGATTGATACATTTAGTGCCCAAAAAGCTTGCATTTTTGTGTGTCTCATCTTGGAAATAGTGAGGGCTCCTGTATTGTTGAAGAAGTTTCTCCCAGTTACTTTGGACTGTAAGGCCATAC